TTCCCTGAATATTGATTGTGGGTCCAAGGAGGATGAACTCCTTGACAACGCCAATCGCTTCCCCTTTTATGATGATGTAACCCATTGGAAGAATAAATAGTAATAGCTAAGGAAAAAATACCTTTGATTGTGGATTTTTTAAATTTAAAATCTTCCTCGATTGCATGTTATTACTTGTGCACTTGCAAATACATATTGATATTGTTATATTCCTACAAATATATTTTTCAAGGGAAACTAGTGATATCCTCATATCAATGGATGGAGAAATTTATTAAAAATAAATGTCCTGGCTCCTTTTATTCTAAAATTTTAATTATGATTAGATTATGATAATGCATTCTTAAGTATACATGTACTTAATAGAAATACTTAAGAAGTCATTAAAATCAACATCCAGAAAAGAAAGACAATATTATCTTGATGTTCTATTTTCCTTCTTACCTGATCCTATTTCTTTTGTCCAAAACAGTCACCACTATATTGAATATTCAACAACATCCAAGGCTTTATGTACAAGTTTACATCTTGCAACTATACATCATGAAAAAAATTAGGTTTGGGGCAACTTTGTGACTCTTCTAAAAAGGAATGATAAGATACGTAGTGGTCACAGCAAAAGTATTATTTGGAAGGAAATTTATAGTAATTCAGGCACACATCATAAAAAGAATAAAGAGGTAAATATCTTCATCTTAACCCAATATCATAATCAATTAGAGCAAGAGAAACATAACAAAATCTCAACCAGCAGAAGAAAAGGAATAGTTAAGATAAGGAACAGGATAAATTGTTTGGAAAATAAGAAAATAGTTGAAAGAACTGAAAACATGAGAAGTTGGTTCTTTGAAAAGGTTAACAAAATCGACAAACCAATGGCAAATTGACCAAAGGAAAAGAAGGAGAAGATGCAAGCATCATGGCTTTGAAATGAATGGGCAGGATCAATACAGAACATATTGAAAAAAAGAAATAAGAATACAATATTATAAAAGGCTTTTCTCCAACAAATATGAAAAACAAAAAGAATTGAAATATTTTCTAGAAATACATAACTTAGCTACATTAACAAAGACGGATGTAGATAATATCAACAGATAATTTAAAAAAAAGAAAGAAAGAAATAGATTAGGTCATTAATAATTTCTAACAACAAAAAATGTCCAGGACAGACAACATCACAAAGGATTCTACAAAACAGTAATGAATATTGAATGCCAATATTACTGAAACTATCCCAAAATATAGAAAAGGACCACACATGCTCAAACTTGTTTTATGAAACAAGCAGGCCCTTGATATGAAACTCATTCAAAGACATTACCAGAGTAAAACATTACAGATCAATATCCTTTATGAACATAGATGTGAAAATTATCAATAAAATCATAGCAAATAAGATATTTTTAAAATGCATTATGAACAGAAAGAATTCATACCAGTCATGCAAGGACAGTATAACCCAGGGGGAAAAATCAATGTAATTAACTATATAAATAAAACAAAGGAAAAGAAGGACATGACCATATAAATTAATGCAGAAAAGGCATTTGACAAAACCCAACACCCATTCCTGAGAAAATCCACTCAGCAAAACAGGAATAGTAGGGAAATTCCTCAACATACTAAAGGCCATATACACAAAACCAAAGAAAACATCTCACTCAATAAAGAGAAACTAAAAGATTGATGTAGAAAATCTCAACAGATCATTAAGAAGAAAGGAATACATCTGGTCATTAAAATGTCTAACAACAACACCAAAAGAATTCCTGTTGTGTAATTCCTGTTCCTTTATTAACACACTTATTTGGTATGGTGCTGGAAGTTGTATCCAGAGCTATTAAACAACAAAAAGAAATCAAAGGTATCTATTTTGGAAAAGAAGAAGTAAAACAATGTTTGCAGATATGAGTCTGAACTTAGAAAATCCCAAAAGTTTGACAAGAAAATAGGTGGGAATACTTTTTTTTAAATCAGGAAATTTGGGGTTATGAGATTAACACAGAAAAATCAACCAGATTCCTGTGTACTAATGAAGAGAGTTCTAAAAACAAAATCAAGAAAATGATATTATTTACAGTAGCAACCCCAAAGATAAAATTCTTTGGAATGAACTTAATCAGATAAACAAAAGGCTTGTACAAAGACAACTATCAAACACTATTACAAAATAAAAAAGAAAGAAAAAGAAACAAATTCACTGCCATGGATTCGATACTGACTCACAGCGACTCTGTTGAACAGAGTAGAACTGCCCCTGACAGTTTCCAAGACTGTAGCTCTTTACAGGAGTAAGGAGTCCAGTCTTTCTTGGTCAGAGATGCAGGTGGTTTGGGGCAGCCGATCTTACAGATCCCAGCCCAGTGCATAACCACTAGGTCACCAGGGCTCCAGAATTGAGAGAGACCTACGCAAATGGAGATTCATATATGGGAATATAAACATAGTGAAAATGCCCATACTATCCGGAGTTATCTATAAATATAATGCTGTTTCGATCCAAGTCCCAGAAACATTCTTTAAACAGTTGGAAAAACTGATCCTCAACTTTATATGTAAAGAAAGAGGCTCATGTGAAACAAAACACTACAAAAAAGGAAAAGAAAAACAAGGTAGAGGCTTTTTACTTCTTGACCCCAAAACCTGCTACTCGGCCACCATAATCAAAACAGCTAGGTACTGACCCAGCAGAAGATACTCAGAGTGATGAACCAGAATAGAGCACTCAGAAATAAACCTCTCCACTTACAGACACTTATTTAGACAAAGCGCTCAGACATATTAAATCAAGGTCAGATAAAATGTGTCCAACAAAGAGTGCTACAAAATGAGATATCCACTTGCAGAAGATGAAAGCAGAATCCATACCTCACTCTATATACAAAAGAAGGATTAAAGATCTAAAAATAAACTCTGAAACAA